GGGGGAACGGGGGGGGGAGAGGAGAGAGAGAACACAAGAATACTGTCCATTTATTAATAGGCACACCCTATCAGTTTTCTCTTTAAAAATAGCCCCAGTAGAATATGGTGGAGGGCAGTAAGTACAAAATTGTAAGAAACAAAGAGTTTGTGTTCCAAAGAGTATTTAGACAAACATGATCCTATTTCAGAAGTTCTACTTTTAAGCCTTTCCTTCTATAAAACCTTAGTAAAACACTGTAAATAAATGATCTACCTAGAATGAGCATCTAGTTCATAAGTCATTCATAAATAACTACAGGATATTAATTATGCATCACCCAAAGTATGTATTATTTTCAATATAATATCACAAATTTACTTCTGCATATATTTACACACACAGAGGTGTAGGTATGGGTGTATCCAGGTATACATACGTGTGTGGCTAGGCATCAAACCCAGAGCCTTCTACATGTACACAAGCACTCTTACCAACTACAGCCCCTGCCAAATTCTGCATTTTTTAAAGATGACAATAAGATACAGTTAATTATACATATAATTATTTGAATACAGTTTTCATAAGCAAATGGCTAACCACATCAAAAACCACCCCTCTCACCTCACTGCCCTGCATGGTCTTTGCTGGGTTAGCAGAGGGGATAGCAGCATTTAACTCAGGCTCCGGTTTACAGAGAAGTGAAATGGTGTCACGATGAGACTGGTAGCGTTCTTTTACTAGGCCATCTGCTTGCACAGCTTTATCTAAAACTGTTGTGTAGTTGGTACCCTCTGTAGGGGAAAAAGTTGCAATACAACAGTGATTCTAACAGCAGTGTTTTATGAGCTAGTTGTACTTTTTTAGTTCTCGTCCTCAATTTCACTTATCTTTCCCCCATGAGTATCAATTTACTATATAATGATGATCTAGCTCCTGTCAATCCTTTACTTTGTTTTCAGAAAAAAGACGAAATCACTCATAAAATCAAATGTACAGCTATACCTTAAAATACATTTCAACTTAGTCTACCAAATGAAAGCAAACAGACATCTATTTAATCTATTCCTGCCACTCTTAAATATAGAAAGAAATCATTCACTCCAAAAACAGACTTCATTTAAAAAAGTATTCTCTAAACTTAGAAGAGCAAATATACCTTTTGAAAAATCTAAATAGTATTAATCCCTTTTATAGAAATAAAACCAATCTCTAGCCATACAAAGATATCCTTTATCTTAACCACAAAATCTTAATAATCTGTAAAGTATAATTTTGACTATTAAATTCACTTTTTAACTACCCAGGATTCATTAGTAAGTTAAAAAAAGAAAAAGAAAAACAGGTAACAAAATAATATACATATGATCTCATATGTTTTTAAAGTACATGCATGGCTTGGAAAATAGAAATGAGAATTATTTTAATTTTCACTTCATATCTTTCTTAAAAATCTGAACTTTCTACAGTTGTCCTCTTAAACCTTTATACTACTAAGGAAATCACCTAGGGTTTCATAATAGTACACAGTTCAGTACACACAAGTTTACATCTGAGTCTAATCAGTAAAAAACTTAGATGCAACTTGGGAATCTGTTCAAGCAAAGGTCATTTATAAACATTTTTACCTGCTCTTAAAGGTTTATAAAGGTCATTGGATGGTGTCCTTTGCCAGCGTTCCTTGAATTTTGCTCTTAAATCATTATCTGTTGCTTCTTCTTCATCCAACAATCTTAGTGACTTAGGAAAAAGGAAGCAAAGACATTAAGATATCATTTCTGGCGTAAAATATTTAAAGCATCTTTTCAAGTGATGATATCCAATATAGGTAAGAGTTTAGTGAGATGGAAATACTTCTATGCTACTGATTAGAATATAAATTGTAGGGGGTTTTGTTAGATAAGTATGTTATATTCATATAAAATTTAAGATTAAGGTGTATATTATCTTTTTCAGTAGAATAAAACAATTAGATCCATATCCCAAAATATTTAATAAAGTTTAAGATTAAAATAAACAAGTCATAAACAAAACTGTTCAATCTTATAAGCCATAAATAAAACAAAGGAAAAACCGACCAATAAAACCTTTTACAATAAAAGATTTAGACTTCCCAGTACAACAAAATACCAATGTATTAAAAATGCCAGGCATGATAGTATGCATCAGTTACCAGCACTCTTGGGAGACTGAAGCAAGAGGATGGAAAGTTCAAGGCTAGCCTGGCAAATTAGCAAGATCTTAGCTCAAAATAAAAATTTCAAAAGGGTTGGAGAAGTAGCTCAGAGTCAAGGCCATGGGCTCAATCTCCGGTAGCAGTAGCAGATGGCAGGGAAGAAAACTAAATGGGGGGGGGGGTAATGTTAATGCACAGCTGAAAAAGTACTTCAGAAGACAATCTCTGATACTTAGGGCAAAGAACAGCAAACTTTTCTGCCACACAACAAAGTATTTTAGGCTATGTAGGACACATACGTCACATAGTCATATTTTCTCATAACCCTCTAAAACCAGCAAAAATCATCCTCAGTTTGCAAACCATACAAATTTAGGCCAAACACAGGAACTGGACTCTAATCCATACTTGCTACCTATGCAATTCATCTCCGGCTTAAAAGTATGGATTTAACACATAAGAAAGGGACCTGAAACATAAGCAGAGTCATTGAGAGTAAAAGGTCAGATCAAAGGCACTGATCCCTACTCAACTTGAGGTTTCCAAATAAGTGACTTTAAGTGAATGAATTTCAAAAATGAATAGTATCCTACAGAAGGAAACTTGCCCAACTGAACTTTGGATCTAAACAGGAAAAAAGAGCACCTAACAATGCTAATCAAAACTCTGAACTTGGGACTAAAAGTCATGCTATCTGACATAAAAGTTCCAAGGTGAATTTCTAATCAAAACATTCAACACACACAAAGTTTAAAGAGACATCAGGTATAAAACATCTTTCTATAGCAAAAGCAAATGCAAATTTTATCTGAAAGAATTCACTTCAACTGATCAAGGAGATTATGGGGCCAAAGAGGAAAGCGATCGATGATGTAGACTGTGCCTAAGGAGAGTCACATGGAGAGAAAGCTCAGGCTTTCACAGAGAGCACATTGGCCAAGCAATGGCCGTGACTCATCCACATGGCTGACACTGACAAAGGTTCTACAACCTGAGGTACAGGATCTCAGGATAAATCCTGACGGGATTTCACTGATCTTATCAGACCCAAAAACTACAACTCTTGTTGCATAGGTCTTGCTTTATCTTGGGTCTTAACCATCCAGCAGAAAAGTATAAAAACAAAGTATAAGAAGTAAGGTCATGCTGTTACGTTGAGCTGTAGGGGACTCAGGTCAACAATTTCTGACACTGCCAGTGAAGTGGAAGACCCAATACTATTATGGACTAGTGGACTCTTTTAGAATATTTTGCTGAGTTAACACACCCATAATATTCAAATAACGGAACTTAACAAAAAAAAGGTATAGAGATGAATGTCTATTTTGTATCTGTGTATTCAAAATGGTTAGTATAGATATATAGTCACATTCTCTTAATGAATAGAGGGATTTGTTCTAATAGTGTTTGTAAATAGGATATCATGTCTGCATCTTGCACAGCAATTAACCACTAGGAAGAATGTATGCAATGTGTTAAATTATTGAAACTGTCCTACCAATTTGGTTTGAAACTGTCTCATTGCTGTTTCTCAATAAAATTATAAAGAAGAAAAAAAAAAAAAAAAAAACACAGACCTCAAAGAATTTCCAAAGTTCCAGGAAATATAAATTCAATAAAAAAATCATTTAATGTCAGACGCAATATAATATTCTGTACTACATCTTGGAAATCTTGAAACTCAAGAAAGACATTGGTAGAGTAACTAGTAAATTATAAGTAATAATACTGTGCACCAATATTTATTTTCTTAGTTTCAACAAATGTATAAAACATTTTAATTTTAGAAGAACCTAAGCAAAGAACAGACAGGAACTAACTCTCTACACCGTCTGTTTGCCTGATTCTGGGAAGACTCCAGGGCAACCCACACAGTCAGTCAGTTTGTTAGTCTTTAAGTTTAAAACCTTTCCAAAATAATTTTTTTTCAATTAAAAGATTAAAAAAAATTGAATACAAGAGAAAACAAAGTCACTATTGAACTGATGGACTAGAAATGCTAGAATTATGAGATGAAGAAAATAATATATTTAATATATTTTAAGAACAAAGGATTAATGCATGATATAAAAGAAAGACATTGGGAAGAACTAAAAAAGAACCGAACAGAATTTTTGAAATGAACAACACAAGAAGTCAACGAGAGCTGCTCATTTTAAGAGCTGCTATGGTATCACTGAAAACAGAGTAAACTGGAAGACAGGTCAGAGGAAATTACCCAAAATGAAGCACAAAGCAACACAAAATGAGAGGTTAGGCGACACAGAAAATAAAATAAAAAGATTAAACATACACATTGTAGCAGAAAACGGGCCTTGCAGTCAGTGTACTTGAGTTTACTAGGTGCCTCGGTAACAGTCCCTGTTACAGTTTTGGCTACTCCCATCTCTTAGAAACTGCTGGTCACTATGAAGAGCAACATATAAACCAATCCCCAACTGACAAGCCATTCTGCCTCTGTACTTCCTGCTTACTGCTCTCATATAAGCCTTAGACCACCACAGATAAGAGCCTGATATTCTGGGAATGATCCCAATCAAAGCCTGTTTACATAAGTATATCTACCTCCAAATCCTGGGTGCTATTTTAATGTTTCTGCTTGCCTTTGCAATATAACCAGAGATCCAGAAATGGTTAATAATGGAAGTCATGGAAAGCAATATTCAAGGATATGAAAACTAAATACTTTCCAGGACAGATTAAATATACAATTCCTCTAATAGATAGTTCAATGAAAATGAAACAAAGAAAAGGAAAGTCATACTCAGATGCATTTTAAGAACTTTTAAAGGAGAGGAATGTATCAATGCCAGTATTGGAAAAAAAAATGGAATTAAAATTTGTCATAGTGTACTTAAATCACAAGAAACTATTTTGCCTCTTTAAAACACTTGTTAAGTTTATTGTTTCTATTTGTTGCTTTTTTTTTTCATCAAAGGGCAGTGAGGCATTTTGGACAGTGCCTACTACTCGATTTACACTAAGCAAATATTCACTGAATTAAAGAAAAAATAGAATGATAATTTAATAAAGCTAGGAAAAAGTAGGAGTGGGGAATAGGAATAGGGAGGAGGCAACAACAAAGAAAATTACACAAACTACAAAGGCAAGACAAATACAAAATACATGGTTCTGAATTTATGAACTGTTAATATAGATGACTTTAATCTGTCAAATAAAGACAAAGACTGTCAACCAAAATTATATATATAAAAAACATACAACTATTAGGTTGAGCATCCCTAATCCAAACCCTAAAGTTTGAAATGATCCAAAATCCAAACTATTCTGAGCTCCACATGATGCCGCAAAGGGAAAATAGATAACTCACTAGGCAGGTCAAAAATCCAAACACAGGTACAATAAAAGTACTGAATAAAACTTTTTTCAGGATATGTATATATATGAAACATAAATGACTCTCCTGTTTAGACTTGGGTCTTGTCTCCAAAATACCTCATTATGTATATGCAGGTATTCCAGAATGGTTTTGTTTTGTTTTGTTTTGCGGAACCAGGGATTGAACTCAGGCCTTTGCACTTGCCAGAGAAGTGCTTATTCCACTGAGCTATCTCCCCAGCCCCATGCAGGTATTCCAAAATTCAAACCAAAATCCAAATATTTCCAACCTTTTCAGATGAGGGATACTCAATCCATGTAAGAACACACAAGTTTAAAGCGAGACAAAGACACTACAAAAAAACTATAGTTCAACATCCCTTGTAAATATGGATGCAAACTCTTCAACAAAATACTACAAAAACCAAATCCAGCAGCTATTTAAAAGTTTATATACCATGACCAAGTAGGAAATCCCAGGAAAGCAAGGGTGGTTCAAATCTGAAAATCAATTACACCCAATTAGTAACGCAAAAATGTTATGATCATCTGAAGCGATCCATGAAAAAAAAAATTAACAAAATTCAATGATCATTCATCTTAAAAACATTGAACAAACCAGAAATGCAAAGGATGATCCTAAATCTAGAAGATAAAGGCCATATACAAAAAAAAAAAAAAAAACCTCGCAGCTAACATCATGCAGTCATGCAGCATAAAAACATGTTTCAGTCAATAAGAATTGACATACACCAGCTGTCCCATAACATTGCTGCCTCCTGATACTGTAGCCATTTTAAGTGTAAGTACATGCTACATTTGCACACTGACAAAATCACCTAATGAATGTTAGTCAGAACACATTCCCTATGCTAAATAATATATGATTGTGTAGGCAAAAACACAAAGTTTTCCTCATAAGATCAGAAATAAAAAGGCTCTCTGCTCTCACCATTTCTGAACTGTAATAACCAGGGCAAGAAAGACTGAAGATGTGAAAATTGATAAGGAAGAAGTAAAACTTTTCCTTAAAAAAGATCCATATTTCACCTGACCTTTTATGTAGAAAATCTGAAGATTCCATAAAATAACTATTAGAAATAATAAATGTATTTAGTAACTTGCAGAAGGTAAAATCCACCTATTAAATTAAATTAAAATTACCTTTATTTCCATACTCAAGAAATGAACAATCTACAAAAGAAATTTAAAAAACAATTCTATT